TTCTGGAACGTCGTTTGGGTTTGTTCCATAATCTTCCAAAATCCAAAAGATGTGTTCTGGATTCTTTAAATTCACTTTTCCTTTGAATGGCAGAAATTCAAGAGCCTATACAATAAAGAAAAACAGGGTCAAAAATAAAGAGGGTCAAATTTTTTTTAATAGGTACCTTCCCCCCCAAGAAAAAAAAACCAAACAGCTAAAAAACCACAATTTCACTTTTGAGAAATGGTATATTAGTATTAAAAAGTTCATTCAATTTTTACTGGATTTTTGAAATGCCTTTTTTTCTTAACAAAAATAGCTCAGATTATTAAGGATTAGAAATTGGGAACTGTAACACTTTTTATTAACTGAACAGAACTCAACTTCAGAGAAAATTAACTGTGCATATTAGTTACGCAATTTTCAAGTTATAGAAACAACACTGATAGAGAACTATGGGATGTGAAATTTCAGTGATACACAGCTACAGCAGCTCACATACTTAACATTATTTAATGTACACAAAAACTGAACAGAGGAAATAGCTACTACTAATACAGATAATTTCAGTGTCTGTAAACGAAGTAAACTGAATAAATAGGTGCCAAAATAGAATGTGGAAGAGCAGAAATAAACAGAAATTTTGGAAAAATTTCCTAAAGGAAACTGGTAAGTCAGGAGGAGAGCACAAGTACAGACAAAAACACGATGACAGAACAAGAGATCAGCACACAGTCCACAGCTTGCAGCTGAAGTCACTTGCTCCACATTCTGCAACAATAAAAGCCTAATAAGGAAATCAAGTAAGATTTTCCAAAAATCTAGCACCTAACTCTTGCCATTTGAATCTTACAGTTTCCAGCAATAAGCTTCAGATTCCCCAGCACACTGGGCTGAAATCAGGAGTGATATTTGTTTGGTTTTGTATATGCCTTAAACAGTAAGTTTATAGTGGGGGAAAAAAAAAAGTTATGAATCTTGAGAGAATGTTAATTCAGACACAAAAATCTCATTTAGACCTGGTAAGACATAAGCCATAAAATTCCTTAAGATTTTGAAGAAACTTAAATACACTGATAGCATGGAATAAGAACAACATTAATAGATTAAACTAAACAAAGATTTCTTAAATATCTACTCACATCAATTTTTTTTATTTTCTGTGCTTGGGTCAGTGTTTTATTAAATGTATGTATATGTACTTTGTAAGTGGAGTCTGACTGTAGATATGGAAGCTGAAAAAAAAAAACAACACAAAGACACTTTAATTAGTACAGATGCAGCGTTATTCAGTGGGCTTAAGGAACCATATTATCCAGATTCTTTGTATGTATACCATCTTATCTGTTGGATAGTTCTTCAAAGATGCATAGAGCTCTCCTGCAGATCTTCCATGGCCCCACAGCTCAAATATAGACCTGAAATTACAAAGTTTTTGAGAGTGCAGTCACACAGAACAGGGAAAATGCCCTACAGATACCTATTCCTTTCAACCTATTTGGCCAAAGTATTTAGGTTTACTTCATGGAGTATAAAAGTGTGTATGTAATTCTCAACAAATGTTTTAATTTTTGTTTGGAACAAGCATTTTTAATCCTAGGCTGATATTTCACTGATGCTTTTCTTTGTTTGTTAACATGCACCAAAAGCTTCAGAGCTTTCCATATTGATTAGCAGTGCAATGGAAGTACTCCAGTGACCTTATTCTACAACTAACACATCTCCCCATAACCAGCAGCAGGACAGAAAAACAAGCCATGGGCTAGTTATGCCTTGTACATAAAATTAGCATACATTAGCTGAGAGTGCACGGTGTGCAGAACATCTGCAAGCTGTTTTGGCACATTTTACTCCTCTAGTTGCCTGCAGCTGCTTTTTGAATTGCAGCACTCCATTCTTTAAGCAAGAGTGGAGAGCCCAAGTTATTGTAGGCAAAACTGAATACCTGAGACATCAAGAACCGAACAGGGACTGTGCAGCACTCTGCAGAGGGGCTCAAGCTCTGAAGAACACAGCACAGACACCACAAATTTAGTATGGTCAGAGAGACGAAACACACCTATGCTGCTTCTCATCCTGAACCAAGGCCTCTCTCATGTCCTTCACTGGAGAGAATATTATTCAGACACCTCTAAAAAGGACCAGCTGGAACAATCACTCTCCAGCATATTCCTGTGCTGTTGAATTTCCTAGAAGGGACCTCTGCTGCAGCAGTCGGGGCTGAAGGCTCAGATGCCAGCACTGAGGGAGGGTGACACAACCTTTCCCTTCCAAACATGATTGCCAGTTTTCACGTATCACTGGTTTTATCTTTCAATTCCATAGGTATTTTAGAAAAGGCCACTAAATCAACATTATACAAAGCACATAAAACATGAGTGACACTACAAGTACTGTCTCTGGAGTGAAGAACATCATTTTGAGACCCTGAATTGATCATACAGAGTAGAGGACAGACAAGCTGCTACATAATTAGTCCTAGAGGACTCCTACAGGCTCCAGTAACACTTTCTCAATTCTAGAGGGAATCAGACACTCTTTATTTTATGACTCCATACAAAATTGATATTTACCATAATCGAACAAAATTCCACTGCTTATGTTATTATTAACAAGATTTTGAATCTCTTACTTTGCACATACTGTCCGCTTCATCAGTCCCCTTGCCATTTCTTCTGAAGGAATATTGAGAATCCAAAAGGGAGACTGCAATCAAGAAAAGGCAAGTGACACAAATACCTAGCTGGAGGATGTCACATGAACTACACAACTACACAATTCTGTTATAGAAAAACAGAACATGCATACTGAAGATTAAAAAATAAAAAATACATCTGTTACTTTTAATCATACAGAGAGCATGGGGATAAAATAATCAATTTGGAACAAAACTGTTTACTCAGCTTGAATGTCTGAGAAATTCTGTTACGTATTTAATTTTTCCAACATAATTGACGTGGTTAAATATTGTTAGCTTGATTATTCATCCACTAAGGACCTTGTTACACATAAGCAGTAACCAAACCCCAGTAACATTCTCTGACCAAGCACTGAGACTAGAATCATATGGCTTCCTAACTACATTCCTACTTTGTCTCACTGATTTAGAGGCAAACACCAATTCCAAACTGCGGCTGAGTGTTTTCAGAGTTTAGCCATCCCAAAAAGCAAGGAGAGCCTCCCAGCAGATGGCACTGCTTCTTTTCATGTTGGTAAATGAAGACAACCTGAGGTGCATTTTAGGCATCTTTTTTCAGTCCCGAGTCTTTACTGAAATTGAGAAGATTCACGATTTTCCAAAGAAAATCTAATATTTATTCAGCTGCCTACAATTAACAAAAATACTGTAAAGAACATACTTGCATACCATATACACACTCAAGTAAAATATCTGGTCCTTACTTACATTTACACGAATTTCCTGCTCACCACAGAATTGTCCACCACAAAGGGAGAGCAATGATGTTATTTCCTAAAAGGAAAATATAAAGGCCAGGCTTTAGAATCATTAACTAATGGGAAAGGAAAGGAAAGGAAAGGAAAGGAAAGGAAAGGAAAGGAAAGGAAAGGAAAGGAAAGGAAAGGCACAAATTCTAATGCAGATGGTGGATAGGGCAGAAGTTCCCAAGCAAATTCAGATTGTATGTACTGTTCACAAACTGAAAATTTAGACTTCAGTGCTATAAAAACAGTTTTCTCAAAATTCATTGGCAAATGTCAGGAAATTTGGAGTAATCAAACCTCACTACTTTGCTTATTTTCCTTCATCAGAATCTTTACTGCTCAATCCTACACTCTCACAAAAATAATCCTCTTACATTATCCACTCTCTTCTTAAAATATTTTTCTGACTAGTTCACATAAAAGTGATGCTTCACTAGTAACACTGACCCAGGGCCAGCATCACCAGATCACCTGGCTAAAAAAATCTATCCTTCCTTGTTCCATTAAGTTTTTGACATATCATGTCCCTAATATAGCTCACCACAAAAGCAAACAAGCTGAGCAGTCACCAAAATAAAAGAGAAATGGCTCTGCTTTCTACAGCAGCTATATCAACCAAATGTCAGCAAAACCTCGTGACAAAAAGAAAAACCTGTGTAACCTATGCATCATTTTCTTTTTACGTCATCCCATGGCCTTGCCTAAAGAAAAATCAAGTTGATCATAAACAGAACTCAGGTTCCAGTCCCACAAAACAAATAGGAAAAAGCAAGGCACAGAAAAAAAACTTAATGAAAACAAGGAAAAGAAACGATTAAAGACACATTTAACATTTTGTAACACGTAACTGTGCAAGGGACGAGGGAACACCGCGCTGTGAAAGCGCCCGTGGCACTGAGTGCCACACCGAGCCTTTCCCGGAGCACTGCAGGGCCGGCGACTCCAGCAGCTCCGGGCGGCCCATGGAGAGAGGGCGGCCCTGGCGTGGGCCCAGGGCAGCACCGCCACTCCTGCACCCAGGGCACGCTGGCGGGAGCTGACGCATAACTCAAACAAACTTTAAAAGTCACCAAAGCCAAAAACTTGAAAGCATTTTTGTAACCCCAGCTTCCGCTTCTCACGTGGAGCCCCGGGCACTCTGCTGGCAACCTCTCCTAGCGCCAGAGGCTCTGGAAAAGCGAGCGGAAGGAAAGCTCTACCTTAAAGCCACCACGCAGAGGCTCTCCAATGAGCCTGGGGCAGGAGGGGGAAGAGGAAGCCCCAGGCCTGGGGTGCTCCCCACAGGACGCAGGGACGAGAGAAGGGGCGCTGGGCGCTCGGAGCCCCCGGCTTTCCCGGAGAGAGGGGAGCCCCGCCGGGGTCCGGCTCCCCCGGCATACCCGGGGCCGCGCCGTCCGGGAGCGCCCCGGAGGAGACGGGAGGGGAGGGCACCGCCTCACCCATCCCCGGTTCCAGCCCCAGCCCTCGCTCCGATCCCAGCCCCATCCCGCGCAGCGCTCACCGGCAGGCGGAACTCGAGGTGCTCCTGTGCCAGCAGCAGCAAATAGCGCCGTAGCGCCGGGGCCGCCAGCGCCATGTCCGGCCATCCCCCGCCTCCCGCATGCGCCGCCGGCAGGGAAGGGCGGGAGCGGCGGGAGGAGCCCGGGAAGGGGCGTGTGGAGGAGAGACCCCTGCGGCCACTGCAGCGGGGCGCGGCGCGACGTTGCGAGAGCTCATTAGGAGTTATCGCTCGTTTCATCTCCTTCCCGTCCTCCCTGCCCTTGTGTTTTGGGTGTGCTTTATCACGCAGGCCACGTGTCAGTGCAGTAGTGCCTGCTTATGGTTTATAAATAACTCCGCGTACACTGGGGACACGCTCGCTCAGGGGTGTTTCACTGCCACGGGCGTGCTGCGGCCTCTCCCGGCCACATTTAAGGACCTGGAGCGTTAAATAACATTAAGAATTAACAAATGCTAAAGGAATCGCGTTCCTTTTTCCGTGGGAAGGAGGTCAGCGCCGGCGGCGGGGGTGTCGCAGCAGGTAGAGAAACGTTCCCAGGAAAGGGGCAGGTGTGCCGGACCGGCAGAGGGGCAAAAAGGGGTTTGTCCTGCAGATTGTGTTTTATTTTAATATCTAGTCTTGATAATTGTAATGCCGTACTCAGTGGTCTCCCTGTTGTGTTGATCTGAAAGGTTTGTCCTATCCAGATTTTGGTAAGTTGTTTATTAGGACCAGACCAGCTCAGCACTGAACTCACGTTCTGGGTTTTATGTGCTGATTTTGGGCAGTTTTGGTATTTTTTCCTAGATGGCTAAGGTTTTGCTCATGACCTGTGAGCCCTGCACAGGGCACCTCCTTTATGCATCTCCATAATCTCATCCTGCAGCTTCTCTAGTTATCCGTCCTGCAGTAATCAAAACTGAGGTTACTGTGAAGCTTTAGCCCTGATGATTGACAAGAAAGCAATCTAAAGCGACCTGGTACCTAAACGTGAGCTTTCCTAGAAGAGAAAGAAAAGAGGTAAATGTAGGTCCAGCTCGTTCACCTCAGTAGCTGAGTGCAGAGACCCAGCAATAAACACATTGCTGAAGTGCTGATAAACCCTGAGAGCTTGAGGTTGCTTACAAAATCTTGGAATTGGTGAGAGAGCTTTAGTGGAAGAAGTCTGCTTTTATTTTTCCAATCTGTCTCACTTTAAATTTCTTAGCTGTGTTGCATCCGTTTTAGAAACTTCTTAAAAGGGGTTGTTAGTATTATTTTTAAGCTTAATCTCTTTGAAACTGGCTTTTGCTTACTTTATCTGCACTGCTTTACCTTCGGGGCTTGCTGTCTGTCCTCACAATGTGAATACCTGTTTTTCACTGATACTGTTTCCTACAAAAGACTTTAACAAAAGCCCTGTTTTTTTTCTTGCTTTTGACTTTGACCATGCAAAATCTCTGTCAGTGTATACATGTTGCTCTACTTAGTTTGAAAGTGAATGTACATTACTAAATAAGATTTATGGAGTATTTGATTCTGACATTAAAATAAAATGCTTTTCAGATGCTGTGTTCGGAAACAGAACATACATTCCTGTAATGCCACTGAGAAGAGTCTAGCAGTTTGTTAGTGTGGATGTGGGGAGTCATCTTAAAAACATTACATAACTCTTCCAAGGAGGGAAAGGAAGAAAAATTTACACTTTTTACCCTTCAGGGGAAGTTTTTATTCACAAAGTGTAATTACTCAACTTGAAACTTATCCAGGGAACTGGATTAACCACCTTCCTCTCACAAAAATATAGAAGAATAGTAATATACAACAGCCACGAGTTTAAATTTAAAAGTGAGAGACCATTAAGGAAAAGCTATTATTTCATATATGCTGCTGTTTATTATTCCCAATTCCCTTCTCTGGTGATCGTGTTGCCACTCTGTGCTCACTTCATGTAGTCTTCTAGACCTAGAGGCAACACAAGTGTTTTTGACTGACCTGGAGGTTCTGGAGAAATTTAGGGAATCCTGCCCCTGTTCATAGGTTCATGTGCAACAGTACCAACATATGTATGTGCGCAAATGCCCATGAATTCTTACCTTTAAAACAACAATCTTTTCAAAATACAGAAATACCCAATCTGTAATTCAGCTGTTAAACTGTTCAGAATTTGCATTTCTGTCCATTTCCTCGTAGAAAATCCAGCACTAGTCCTGTATTTTAACTTCAAATGTCGGTAAAAGTATCAGCTCTGTTTATGTACTCCCTGGAAACTCCGGCTTCCGTATTTCAACAGGTGAACGATACGACCCGGCGAAGACATGGCTGTGGCACATTTAGATCTCTGTAGGGATATAAAAATCTGTCCCTAATTCACCAGAATAACCACATCCTGCACAGACAGTCCATACGCCAAGCGCATGGATGCCACGGGTGGTGGGCAGCCCGGGAGCGGTGCGGCACTTGCAGCTCTGCTGTAGCCGGCAGACATGGCCGTGCAGCAGCACAGCCTTTTAAGGGAGAACAATCTATTCTGCCCTTGTCTTCTTCGCTAAATAGGGTGCTGCAGGCAGAGACGCGCTCGCTAACTGCATTTTTACTTCTCCTTCCAGTGCCTGATGAGGAAAATCCTCCTGCTCCCACCACGTTTTGGCGTTTCGGCTCCAGATAACTTTTGAGCGTAATAACTTCCATAGTCTGAGAAAACCTTGTCGGCACGGCGTGCCTTTGTCCACCTTTAATCAGCGTCCGGGCAGGAGAGCGGCTTCCCACCCCCGGCACGGGTTGGCGTGCCGCTGCTGCCGCTCGGGAATGGTTTGCTCTCTCCGCAGCTCGGCCAGCGCTGCATCAGATTGTTTGGGAACAAACAAACAGCGGGGCTGCCGGCTACCAGGATAAAGTTCTTGAAAAGGCGTCATTGCAAGAAGAGTGAGTACTGCACTTTGTGTTGCACGGAGGCTGCAGGGTTTGTTCGGTAACTGCGGGACCGGTGTAAGCATAATTTACTACCTTGTGTTCCTAAATTACTTCTGAATTTCACCCGGATCACTTTTTCTTTTTTCATTGCTGTAGAATTATGAGTGAACCTAAAACGTTCAGATACTTCACCTCTTTTTCAGCAGCCTTGCGTCTCACTCGGGCAAAACTCTTCCAAAAAATATCAGGCTGATTTGTTGTTTTCCTTCACAGCTGACAGTGCTCACAGGAGCCCCAGTTACAGCCAGTCACTGATTCGATTCCTGCCTGAGTGCCTTAGAACATTTTCAGGAATGGAAGAAGATAAAGGGCAAGGTGCTAAAGCTACCAGTGGAGTGGGTGACCTGAGGAAAAGCTGGCAGACCTGGGCAGAGGATCACATTGAGTATCAGAGGAAGAATCCGTTCAGCAGCGACGACAGGCTTGCGGCTAAAGCAGCGCACACTCACAGAGGAGACCCTTCCTATGGCAGACCCCCTGAAGGGTCTCGGACAGAGCAGAGAGGGAAAGATGCTCACTCACACGTGGGTAAGGAAGTAGAAGAGCTGTGCTCGATCATCAGAAAAACTGGAGAGGTGGGAGAAGATGGACACGTGAGTGTGACATTTGGGCAGCTGTTTGAAACATATGTGACTATTTCCAATAAGGTAGTGGGAATCTTGCTAAGAGCCAGAAAACATGGTCTGGTTCATTTTGAAGGTGAAATGCTTTGGCAAGGAAAAGATGATGATGTGGTCATCACTTTACTACAATAAGGTTTTGTCCTGGGATGAACTTTGCTGCATGGTTCCGTTTGGAAAATCTAGATACCATCTTCACAGGTTTTGCTTACAGAATCTCAACTCAGCTACCTACTGGGACACAAGCAGGAGAGGAAATGGGCGAGAAGGATAAAGCTTATTTTTGTAAAAATGTTAGAGATTTGGTCAGAAATCACAGATTATGAGCTACTCCATCACGCTGACATTGGATTGTCTTTATTATCATCTACTACTAAGTATATGAGAGTTCTTCAAATAACTCTGCTGGCCTACTGCTTTTAGATTACTGAAAGTAAAATTATTACTTGCTTCCTACAACACTGATTCCTGCAGGTTATGAAATACTTAGTGCATGGGAGAATGGAATTTGTAAAATGTGGAATTGAAAACTCTTGTGGGAATTCATATATTTCTTCAAACAAAGAGCCTGGTACATAGCAAAAGTTTAGGGTCAATCTCACATGGTTAAACTGAATAAATGGAAGTTATTTTCATGAAGTAGATGGAAATTCCTAAACTTAGAAAAATACCATAGCAGGGATAATTGATGATTCCTAAATTGCTTGGATCTTGCTTGGATTTTGGACAGTTGCAGTAGTTCTGGTATTTAATAGTCTAATCTTACAATCATACCTTCTCCAAAACTTCTGTGTCCCTTGTTCTTTTTGTTTTCTATCTCACACCATTTTTACCTTTTCTGTTCTTCTAACACTTCAGAAGAAGTCCACAAACCTCTGCAGCCTTTTTGGCAAATTCAACTATATCCCTTTACAGAAGGTACAGTGCCACAATATATAAAGATGCAAAAGTCAACAAAAACTCTGTACTGGGGCACCTGTGCATTCATAAAGAAAAAAAAAAGCTCTTCTTTCACCAAAATGTAGCAACGTTTTTACAAGAGGAGAGATATTGAAGTACCAACTGCATAAATGAAAGAACAGCAGCACAGTCCCTGAGCACATAGCTCATTTACCTGATTTCAGAGTACAGTTGTGAGTTCTTCAGAAAGAAAAATAAAGAATTGGTTATATAAAATAGTTATAATAGTGCTATGAAAAATAATCAGGAGTTGTATTACAATAGTTCCCATCAATAAAGCTATATAATTAGAAATCTAAAGTTCTGTGTTTTAGCAGTGCAAATAGAAGCTTCTGTGTGATGTTAAGTACACTATTGATGGGTCTTTAAAGTAAGATACTGTCTTACATCAAAAGGATAGTAAAATTTAATATAAATTAGGGACTTGATAAAAGTGATGTGTAATTCTGTGCTATTTATATAAAAGACCTTCTATTGCAAAAAGCCTGAAAGAATGGGGTTTTGTTTTGATGTTTTCATACAATGGGGATTTGCACCAAACTAAGTCTTTGGCCGAGGATTTCATTGTTATCCTGCCTCCTTTTTTTTATTCTGGTGATAGGACGATGAAAATAGAAAAAAAGAAGGAATAAATTAATGTGCTGAAATAAGTATATCTAGGGAACAGGGCAGTCAAGATGCGGAGAAAAATTTTATAGTGTTGAGAAAGGGGGAATATGTGCTGTACCTGGCACTGTTGATGTGCTCCCTTAGGTTTCAAACCTGCTGCTTCTTTCTAAATAGGTCTATAGCTGAGAAATAAGACATGTAGTTTGTAATCTTAACATATTTAAAATGCTTTGTTCTTTTTGGAAAAGCATTTCTTGCCAAATGACATGAGCACACCTCACAGTATTTCTGCTCACATTAGAGGAAGTCTTTACATGCATTCAGATTTCAACAAAAATTGAGGTTTTTTTTATAGAGCAGATATGGAATGAGTTTTGTTTAATTCTAACACTAAGTTCTGCTGTAGTGTTAGTTCATAACTTGCAGGAAGCAGCATTGGACACTTCAAGTGTCACCAGCTGAGTAACGGGATGGCACTATCAGGAAAAATAATACATTGCTGGACATTGTACAAATAATTAATTGCAAGACACACATGAGGCAGTATGTAGCCTGAGCACCGTAAGATGCAAGTCCAGTTCATATACATCTACTAGATTTTAATTAAGTCTGGCTCAAATATCAGCAGCCTAGGCTTCACTGCCATGTAAGTGGTAGATGCTTGAGCACATCTACAAGTACTTTAAGTACACCTCTGATCAAAACAGAAGCAGAGCAAACCCTTAATGACATGGTCTTACCTACTTTGTAAGCAAGTAAAAAAAGCTTGTTCTTACGTTTTTAATAGAACCAAGGATTACTATATAACAAAACTATTATTTATAGAGGGATTTAAAAAAAAAACAGTTACAGAGCCACGTTTCCAACTTGCCAGCTTTAGATGAGCATTCTGGAAAGCGTGACTGAAATCTTTCTGTGTGCCCATGCAATGATTATAAACACCGAGCTGCCAAACTGGCTCAGCACCCAGGTTGACAAAATCAGTCTTGTGCTTCCAGCAATAGCCAGTATTTCAAAAAAAGACTAAAAGATAGATAATAGCTTGCCCACTGGTACAGTCTAGAATAAAAAATAACTCCTGAAGCCTGTATAGTCATGAATGCATCATATCTAATGCACATGACTCAGTTTAGCTAGAAGTTTTACAAAATTGTGCTTCATCTGTGATTAGATTAACATCTACAGATGAAATAGGAATTTAAACTTTTCAACATGCAACTTTTTTTCAGCAGGCTCCCATTAGAGAAAATGGAACAGAATTTCTTAAATTATTTTTGCAAAAATTGTAGCATGTGAGGGGTTTTAGTATTGTAGATTATTTGGAGTGGTAAGTAAACCCTAACTTTTTAAAAGGTGTTCTTGCCCTACTAAGCATCTTTCAGCTGTCTAAATCTCTCCTAAAATTCACTTTGTGACAAATTACCTTAGTGGTCTTTCCTCTCCTTCCACTTGAAGCCTGTAAACTCTGCATCTGTTTTGGACTGTATTATCATATAGGGATTATCTGTGGTTTGTTTTGTCAAAACACTGAAGGCACTGTCACCATTTCAATAAATGTTGCACATTAGTTTGAAATGACAAGAGTTTTTATGCAGCATTTTATTCTTTACAAGTTTCTCAAATTTCAAATACAATTTTCACTGGTTTTCTCCCATTCTCCTACTTTTATTTACAACTCACGCTTAAAAAGACTTTGGAATAGTCTGAGGAGTTATTACCAATTTAAGCACAACTTCTTTTTAACAGCATTTTATGTATATCTGTTTCATCCTTTCAGCCTAAAAGCATTATTCACTGGGTTCATGTTAGGTTGGGAGTTTATGTAAAACAATTGAGCAAAACAGTACAAATAAAGCTTTGTCATTCCTAAACATGAGGTCAAAAAAGCAGCTTTTCTCAAGACTGCTAATACTGGATCAAAGAACAGAGCCAGCAGCAGTGCCTAAACAACTTTCTTTTGCTTCTCCAGGCTCTTGGAGAGTAAGAGCTTCTAAGTTCATGCTCCTTATTGATCATTGCTCCTTAGAAAGCTCTACAGATGATTTCTAAAGTTTTAAAATTACTAAAAGCTTCTGTAGAAGACAGGGACAAAGTTAATAGGATCTGCCCACTGTCTCTTCCAGGGGCTAGCCAGTAATTCAGAAATGTATTGAGAGTATTAGGTAAGACTTTCAGAAAGTATTTCTTCACCTAATTAAAAAAATTATCTGCAGAGTCCAAAAATGCTTGTCAACGCAGAAGGAAAACAGACCACAGTTCTGTGCTAAAAAACATTAATGAGAGGCTGAGCATTCCTCTCAGTAATTAGTGTGCCTCTGTTTAATGCTTTGCTGTTTCAGCTGCTTTGAGGCCTGTCTGTTGCTGTCAGGGAACACGGGATTTCCCCATCTTTCTCATCAGCAAAACCCTGGAAGTGACATTATACCCAGATTTTTACCTTTCCAGTCTTGTCATTAGTGGGATCCTTCTCCAAATGTAAGATATAAAAGTTGGCCTTTGTGCTTTCATATACATATGGCAACGTACAGTGTCTGGCTGGGATGGAGGTAACTTCCTTCAGAGCATCCCAGGTTTTGGGTGTGACTGGAAGTGTTGGTAACACAGCAGTTCTGGTGATTGCTGAGCAGTGCATGCACAATGTCAGGGCCTTCTTTCTCCTGCTCTGCCTCTGCAGTGGGCAGAAAGCTTGGAGAGAGCACAACCTGCACACCTGACACAGACTGGCCAGCAGGGATATTCCATGACATGTAATGTCTGGAATAAAAGCTGAGGAGAGGGCTTTTTTTGAGGGGGGGTGGGGGGGCATTGCTGCTGGCCTGCCTGTGGGAGGTCATAAGTGATTATCTTTGCTTTTTTTCTTCCTCTTTTCTTCACATGTTAAAACTATCTCAGCCCATGAGGTTTTTTTTCATTTTGTTCTTTCTGTTCTCCCACCCCACTGCGTTAAGGGATGAGGAGTGAGCAAAGGGCTATCTAGGGTCAACTTCCACAGTCAACTATTCCACTGCACTGGATAATCATCCCAAGACTAGCATTTATTAATCCTTTTTGACAATAGTTCATGTTGATATTTTAAATATTACATTACATGTCACAGTTCAGTACAGTCACATAAATTAATTAGAGATCAGAATACATACACAGGACTAACACTTGATAGTCCTTAATGTTCAGGTATTTCCCTTAGTTAGGAGCCAGCTCAAACCTCTTCATCTATTGCACAGTCAAAGTTCAGTGGCTTTAAGTCCCACTTTTCCTACCAAATATAACAAACCCTAAAGGGCTGCAAATGACATGCCAGTGCCCACTAATAAGAATAAGAAGACATTAGGAAGAAGATCTAACAGACAGAGAGGTGTAAACTCTGCCAGGTAGAAAATGCAGTTCTTCAGAAGGGTGCAGACTCTCTGAAGAACTGTAAGACTATTACAACACGTGTCACTAAGGCAACAGGTGCTGGATCCATGGAAAACACAGAGTATTATGTTCAGGTGCAACAGACATTCTCACCTCAGCTGCATCTGAATGCATCAGGCAAGGACACTTGGTTAGTTTGGCACCAAGACAAGCTCTGTGAACAAAGAAAATCTACTCCATGTGTTCTGAAGTTTTAAATTACCGAACAGTCTGCCTTATTATGGTACTGAAAAACAAGTGCTAGCATTCCTGATCAGAGTCATGCAGCAAAGGCAAATGTTCAGCAGGTTCCCTAAGCAACTTGGCATGTTCCAATTTTGGGCTGAGTCCCTGCTATCCCAAAGTCAAATCACATTGCTCTTATGTAAGTCTGCCACACACACACACACTGCATTTCAGACCGGCTTCTCTTGTGACTTCATTTAGAATCCAAATTTGGCCAAAGCATTAGTAATCTGCAAGGGACTTCCAGTAAGAATAAATCAGAAAATCTGGACTTTTCTATCTACTGCCATGCAGAAGAGCAGCATACAAAATCCATGCTTCTGAATTCTTCACGTTCTTTGTAAACATACAGTAACTGATTTCAAACATTTTGCACGTAAGAGGGAAAAAAATCTTTAGGTCTATTTACACATAAGCTATATCCAATGTTATACAGCATAATCACATTTTGGACATGTATTGTATTCACGTTTAATGTGTCACTGT